CTTCCTTCCTTCCTTCCTTCCTTGCATTCTCTCTCTCTCTCTCTCTTTCTCTCCCTCCCCCTCCCCCCTCCATTCCCAACTGCCATTTCTCCCCTCCACTTCTCTTTTTATCTCTTATAACCCTTTCCTGCCAAAATAAAACCCTCGGGTGGCTCCTTCTCCTTTTTCCCCTCCTGCCCCTGATCTTCCAAATGTGGTCCCTTTTTAAGGTCTTCTCCTCCCAGAGTAGACGGTTGTCTCTCGGTGTCTTTGATCGAGGAGGCAGGCGGTAGGCTCTGAGGGCAGTGCCTCTTGGGGTTCTCCCTGCCTCACATCCTACCTTTCATGTTCGTCAGCACCTTAACCTTTCTGTCTTTTGCAGAGGTGAGCTCAGAGGAAGCTCCAGGGTCTCCAGGAGATCCTGCAGGAGCTCAGGAAGACGCCTCAGCTCCTGCGCCAGAGGATGCTCCAGTGAATGTTACCATCACAGTGACGGCAACAACCCCTTGACTGCTCCTTGGTACTCAGCCAAGGTAGCATGAGAAGACCTATTCTGGATCAGCAAGAGGAGGACCATGATATGGGGAGGGATGGTGGGGATCAGGAAGACTTGGAAGGAGATGTCATTTCAAGGCTTGCATTAGCCAAGAACTGTCCAATCAGTCTCTCTCAGGCTAGAAGAGACCCTCTCTGAGCATGTTCTCAGCCTTAGCCACACTTGCTGAACAAAGAATAGAGAGCCTGTGAGCAACCTTGGGGCTGTTTTCCTGCAGACAAAGGATTTCTTTCTCCTTTTCTTATAAACAGATGGTGGCTTGGCAGGTTTGGTCCTGAAAGGATGGTCCTGAAAGGATCCTTAGGGAGGATACCACGGTTTGCATGCTGCAGAAGATGCTGAGATGTCTTAATGGGGAGTACAATGCTGACACCACGGGGTTCATATGTTTAGGTGGGCATGCAGAAGACTGTTGCTAATGATTGGTGCTGTTAAACATTCTGATGCACTAAATGCAGCTAAAATCGTTGAGTTTTGTTTTCCCTGAGAAACAGGCATGAAATCTTGTGTTAATATGCAGTTGGATGTAGCTGGGCTGTTTATCAAAACTGGACATTCTTTATATCTCTTTGCCCTGAAGAATCTGAGGTTGGAAAATTGGAACTGATGGATTATACCTGGTTTTTCTGTCTCTAAAGTTTAGTCCACACAACAGGAATCAGGGCTCCTGCTAAGTGAGAAAGAAAAAAAAACGACTGCAATCAGGAATGGTTGTTTGGGTTAAAAGAATGAATCACATTGGCATGAATCACATAAGCTGAAACTAACCCCTTCAGTAATACATTTGCTCATCAAAATGATGAAGAAGTGGGTGTGGCAGAGGCTCGGTGATAGAAGGGCCCCAAGGCATAGATCACAGAGCTGGGAAGGATCCATTGAGTTCAACCTCCTGCTGAAACAAAAATCCACATCTAAAGCATCCTTGAGATGTGACCATCCAAAATCTCAAAAGAAGGAAAGTCCACCTCTGTTACTGAGCAGGTCTTACTGCCAAGAAATTCTTCCTGATGTTTGGTCAAAATCTCCTTTCTGAGTCCTTCTACTGTCTATACCGGAGCTTCCTTTCACCAGTTCTTTGAGACATCAAGTCACAGGGAGCTGAAGCCTGCCTGGTTGACGGTCAGAGATTCTGAAAATCACAGCCCAAACCACAGGGAGGTCAAAAAGTTTAGAACAACCAATTTGCATTGGTCACCAAGGGCTCCCCGAGATTTCAAATAGAGCTCTGTACCAACCCTAGCTGGAGATGTGGCAGAAACCAACAAAGGCCCCTTCTGTATGCAAAGTATTGTTTGGGTATTGTTGACTATGTAGCTCTCTTCCCCTAAAAAAAAAAACAAAACAAAAAAAACAAAAACAAAGTATTATTTGGGTATTGTTGACTATGTATCTCTCTTCCCCTCCAAAAAAACATAAAAGCCCCATTTAGAGTTTAAGGCTACCAATGTGGAGCCATAGAAATGGAAAGCAAACTCTTATATTTTCCCCAGAGTTTTATATTGTTACTGGTTACGAACTAATATCAAACTTAAGCCCTGTTTCTCTTTTTCTTATTGAAGTAGCATTAAACATACAGGAAACAAGCACTGTCAGGTAACCAGATATACAAAAGGCTTAGGTTGTTCACAGAAATAGGTAGGTTTCTAAGGCCTAAATTCAGTGGTCTGAAAAAGTTTTATTTTTTCCAGGACAGGTCTCAGATTCTCCCAATTGACCCTATAGGCTGGGGAATCCTGGAAGTTGCAGTACAACTGCCCATTCTTACTAAGCTCTGCTCAGACTGATCCACCATCACAATCAAGGGTCCCCAGGGTGGTGTCCTTCAAGGCCCCCACCCCAGCTCACCTCAATTGATTACATTGTGTTAGAGTAATTGAAAGTGCTGTCTTGATTTTAAAAATCAAAAAGAACAGCTATGATCTGAATGGGAGTTTTTGAATAAGAACTCTTAAAACCATGCCCATCACAAGCCCTGCTACTCTGGGGATTGTGGGAAACGTAGTCCACAGATAGTAATGTTTCCAGATTCTGGGAACTTTATTTTAGGGACAGATATTCTTGATTTTCCCAATTGCCAATTAATAGCCTAGTTCCCAAATTCTCTCCTTGGAGCAAGGAAAGGAAAAGGAAGCTTCTGCTGAGGGACATCAGCGGGCAGGCGGCCTCTGTCGACACTCCCTTAGTCCAGCATTTCCCAGCCTTTTTTGAGTCATGGCCCCCTTTTATAAACAACCAAGAAACCTGTGACCCCCACTGAAGCCACCACATGTGTGTTAAAAAGGCAGTTTTAATGGGGAAAGGAAAACACTTTAAAATAGATTTCAACCCTAAAATATTAATATTTAATGTAAGAATACATAATTATGGGGAGAAGCTGTAAATCTGCCTCTAGGAGATAAAATATGAGGAGGAAAAAAACTTTGAGTTTAATGTATTTTTTTGGGTGAGGAAACAACCTTCCCTTCATGTCTCCCCCCCACACAAAAAGCCCCCCTCAGTGAAGAGCCCCTCCCCCCTCAAGCCCAAATCAACTCTCCTCCCCTCACAAGTCCCCCCATCCTCCACGGAGGGATCTCCCTGCCCAGGTCTCCTCTCCCTTCCCTGCGCCTCCATCACCCCACCCAGAAGAGCCAGAGACTCAGGTGGAGAGAAAGGGTCCACAGCTGTGGCAGCAACAACGGTTCAGTCCCACCGCCATCTTGGGGGAGGGGCTGCCTTCCTGGCAGGCATCCTGCACTCGCCTCGTCCAGGCCCTCTTTGAGGCGGCTCAGCCTCCCCATCCAAAAAGCCGACCTCAGTCCCCCAAAAGGCGGACATGGAGGGCAGAGAGAAACGATACAGAGCACATCGTTCGAAGTTGGAAACCATGCGCAGGCATGAGGGGAAAATCCCTCCCCCTGAAAGGACTCCAGATGGCCTGCAAATCCAGTTCAGATTAAAGGGGGCCAATCAGTGGTCCAAGAGAACTAAAATAAACTAGCTCTGGTTATGCCATATTCAACATAACAAAAGTAAAAATAATTGCAACTAAAAAGAACCACTTTCCCTCAGAAAACAAGAAGTGACCCCCTTGGGGGTCCAAACCTCTAGGTTGGGGACCCATGAATTAAATAGATGTTTGGCTATGTAATGACAGATCACTTTAAATATATATATAAAGGAAGGACTGAGTAGATTTTAACATACACTATATAGAAGACTTTAATATTTTATATAGAGAAAAAAAGAATTTATAAATATCAAATACGGTACAAATAATTTGTGAACGGAATAGTAAATAATACATAAGATATTTTAAATTGAAAAAAAAAGGAATCTAGATCTATTTGGAGGGTGGTTGATTATACTATATTTCCTACAATAATGATAAGCTATAGCAGCAAGGCATGCTCCAGAAAGGAGGCAGGAGGTGAGGGAGAGGGAAGGGCAGGGCAGGGAGGGAGGAAAGACGGAACGGAAGGATTTCTTCAGTTGGCCAGGTGGGTTTGGTGGCGGAGGGAGAGGCCGGAGAGCAAGGATCTTTGGCTGAAGATGATGGGATGGAAGGCTGTTGAGGAGATATCTTCGGGTCAGGGTTCCTGTGGGGAAAAGAGAAAAGAGAAAGCTTCATCAATATGAGAATAAACTCCCCTTTCTCCCATTACGGGACGTCCATGTTAAAGAATCTTTTTGGGATAAGCCCAGCAGAGGTAGTCATCTTACTTCTGGTCCTAGTGGGCTTACCACCTCCTACTGGTGGCACAAACTGATTATTTTTCACAATGCCATCTGGCGTTGGAGGGTTTTCTGGAAAGACAAAGGTGACTCCATGCTGCTTGGAGGAAGGGCTCAAAGATGCTAAAGATGCTACCGCTTGAAGGAGAAATGCCCATGGACTTTTGGACAATGCTGGAGTGTGTTTGTTGGAGCCAGGGGACTACCAAAGGATGATCCATGCTGACATTGGATCTGCACAATGACACACTTTTTAGTTCTTGCGTTCAGGAACATTTGTGTTTCTTTGAACCACAACAGCACAAAAATATGTGGAGACAAAGGCAGAGAATGGACCTGACACTTGAAACGAGCCCATCAACAAATGAAGAATAATGATTCAGGTTTTACAGAGCTCAGTGGGTTGCAGAGTTGGGGCTGGTAGTTGAATGCCCCCCCCCACTGTGCCTCTGAAATGAAGACGGGAACATGCTAGTGTGAGGGGTATCTCCCCCGACCACGGACAGACACAATGGACTACAAATTTTCTATCACCATGAAAAGTCCACGTTTAGTGTCCTCTCTTCTGCCCCTCCCCCCTGTACTCCTTTACTGTCCTAGATGTGGATAAAATGGTGGCGATGGGGGAGGAAGAAGGGAGGGGAGAGAAATACTTTCAGTTTCCATATGATCTTCTTGGTTGATCAGTGAAATTTGGCCACAAAAAATAAGGTGGAAGCCCCGGACAGGAGCTGGAAAAGACTGCTCTGGTACAGGGGGTTTGTTTGCACCAGCAAATACGTCAGTTGATCACTGCTTTTAGGAGCAAACATATCTATACTTGCAGCAGACCAGCTGATAGATTACTGGTGTCTTCCACCTCTGCCTAGCTTAATATCGATGTATTAGCTACCTGTATATCCTGCCTTTCCACCAAAGAGATCGAGGTGGCATATATGATCCTCCTCTCCTCCTCACTTCATCCTCATAACAAGGCCAGCCCTACCATTAGGCAAAGTGAGATGCCTGTTTTTGAGTGGCAGCTTGATTAGGATGGTGGAGAATACGCTGCCTCCCCTGAATCCCCACCTCTCCTGAGTGTTGCTGCTGTGATGCACACAATTTTCCAGAACTGGCTATTTTCTAGTTTCTGGGTTCAGAGGAACTCCCAGAGCTCTGCATTGTTGATGGGCTCTCCTGCAAAGTTCCCTGTGACTGCGTAGGGAAAACCATGTGTGTCATGACATGGGCTATTTACCTGGACAGCCCCTGGATCTGAGAGACACCAATGTGAAGACTTCTCATAAAAGTTGATATTCTCTGAGACTTCTCAAGCTCTGAGATGCGAAGATTCCCTGTCAGGACATCCCCCTGTTCTAGTTTTCCCCTTCATTACAATTCTCCCCCCCCACACACAGTTTTTTTGCTTATTATTCTTCCTGCAGCTTGAATCCATTATTACAACTCCTGCACTTTGGGATGGTCAAGAGCAGATTCTGCCCCTCCTAGGTATAACTACCTTTACAGTACAGTATTTAAAAAGTGCTATCAGATCTCCCCTTGGTCTTCTTTTCTCAAGGCTAAACATGCCCAGTTCTTTCAGTCTTTCCTCATAGGAATTGGTTTCCAGCCTCCTGATCATCCTTGTTGCCCTCCTCTGAACTTACTCCAGTTTATTGGCATCCTTCTCGAGGTGTGGTGTCCAGAACTGGACACAATTCTGAAGATGAGGCCTAACCAGTGCCAAATAGAGGGGGACTAGCACCTCGCGGGATTTGGAAACTACTACTGCTCATGCACCCTAAAATTCCCTGTGCCTTTTTTGCAGCCACATCGCACTGTCCTCTTGAGGGAGGGGCGTCCCTAGGGGAAGTGAGGGGGCTGACCCTAGGGTAAGAGATATGAAGAGGTGAGGGAGGGTGGCGATGGAAGTGCTGGGATGAGGTAGATAAGAGGAGGATGAGATGGGGAAAGGAGGAGGAGGAGAGGGAGGAGAGGGCTGAGGTGAAGCTGGTCGGAGGAGGCGAAGGCAGGAATTGAGAGGAGGGTGGGAGTGGGATGTTTCTGAAACCGATGAGAGGAAGGTGGAGACAATGGTAGTGGCGATGGGGGGAGGAGGCAGATGGGGGGAGAGAAAGGGGAGGACCTGGCCTTCGATAGGAGGAAGTAGAGAGGAGGCAGGAGCAAGGGACTCTCCTCCAACCTGGCCATCCCTTTCTCACAATGACCATCGGGTAAGGAAGGCCAGGGCTTTGCTTTGGGTGAGGAGTGCATTTGCACCGGCCAAGCTGCTGCAGCCATTGTGCCTCTTCCTGGAGGTGGCTGGACGGACGTGAGTGACAGCTGCCTCAGCCACACCCTGCCCGGATTGGTGCAATGCTCTCTGTGTTTGGAAACTTCAGCTGGTCCAAAACATTGCCACCAGATTGCAGACTGGGACCAGTCAGAGGGAACACCCTTCTTCCAACGGCTTCATTAGCTACCATTCTGTTGCCCGACAGAATTCAAATAGCTGGTTATATGACCTCTAAAGCCCTACAAGGTGAAAGCCCTGGGCTGAGAACCCATGAATTAAAAAACAACCTTGACTAATTAAGTCATAGCCTGATGGACAGACCATTTTAAAAATACACAGAATAAAAGGATTGAATAGTTTTTAATGTACATTATGTAGAACATTTAAAATGTTTAAAGATAACACAATAGATATAATATATAAATACAAAATATTGGCTAAATAATTTGTTTGATCATACAATAGTATAAAACACTTAAAATACTTTAACTCAAATTAAAGAAACTAATACGTCTTTGGAAGGAGGTTGAAGACCATGTATTTCTTCCAAAAATAATAGGCAAAACCAGCAAGGCAGGCTCTGGAAAGGAGGCAGGAGGTGAGGGAGAGAGAAGAGAAGGGCCGGGAGGGAGGAAAGACAGAACGGAAGGCCTTCTTCAGTTGGCCAGGTGGGTTTGGTGGCAGAGGGAGAGGCCGGAGGGCAAGGATCTTGGGCTGAAGGTGATGGGAGGGAAGGCAGCTGAGGGGATATCTTTGGGTCAGGGTGCCTGTAGGGAAAAGAGAAAAGAGAAAGCTTCATCAATATGAGAATAAACTCCCCTTTCTCCTATCAGGGGACATCCATGTTAAAGGCAGGTGAGGGGATATCTTCGGGTCAGGGTTCCTGTGGGGAAAAGAGAAAGCGTCATCAATATGAGAATAAACTCCCCTTTCTCCCATCAGGGGACATCCATTTTAAAGACTCTTTTGGGGATAAGCCCAGCAGAGGAAGTCATCTCACTTCTGGTCAGCCTACATTTTCCAATGACCATCCCATCATATCCACAAACATTCTTTATGCTAAAGCAATAGATCTACGTTACATTCATTGGACTATTGTGTAAACTAGGGCAGACCTTTAAAATGAGCTTTTGATCCTTTGAAGATGAAGGACTTTCCCCACTATCTAAACAGTAAATATTCTTATGCTTCTGCTGAAGAACGCGGGTCTCATTTCAGATAGGACTGTTTGCGAACCCTGTAAGAAAGAAAAGCAGCCCACTAGAGGATGTTTGAAATCCATGAAAAGTTCCCTCACCTGGGAGATGTTGGGGATGGTGGTCCTCCCGAAACAGGGGGAGAATCCGGAACAAGGGGAAGGGCAGAAGCGAAAGAGGAGGCGGTGGTTTGGACCAAGGGACAAGAGAGGTTTGTGGTTTGGATAGAAGGGGGAAGAGCAGAATTTGGGTTGGGGAGAGGAAGAACATGGGGTTTACGGGGTTTACAGGTGAGAGGACAAAAGGGGCGGTTTCCTTCATCTTTCAAGTCCTGCAATCATAAGACGAGAAACTTTTCAATGGGTATGAAGACAAGTCTTGTTCAGATCCTCTACAGTTGAACTCGTAATTCCAGTCTTTGAGGGATGAGAATTCTGTCAACTGCAACTCCATCCTTTCCTTAGCAATACTCTGAGGGGAAATATTTACCCGTATCCATGAGTTGCAGAGGACAGTTCTCCTTGGGCACACAGATACACCCAAAAACAGAGACTCTGAACCCAGGGCAGAAGTGATGGAGAGGCCAACCTGCTGATGGACCTGCAGTCCACGTTCAGAGTTGTCCTCTTGTCAAAGCGGGAGAATCGACCCCATCTCACCTTCCTCCTTGGGCACAGCAGTTTGTCTCTTGCTGTCTCCCGGCGTTGTTTCTTAAAAGCGGCCTCCTTCTGGCTGGCCCATCTGAAACTCCAATGATCAAATGGAGGTCTTTTTGCTCCCCTTTCCATTGTTGTATTTCTCCCCTGTGTTCACAAGACAAAGTAAGAGATCCATTGCATTACTTTGCAAGTCATTGGGAAAAGCAAGTCATAGAACTAGAAAAAATATCCACCATGACCTTTCTATTGAAATCTCCCTACAAAGTAACTTTGGTAACTCAAAAATGTGATGCATTGTGCTTAAAAAAATAAATATTTGATCACTTGCTGCACTTTCACTGTCACTACATAACCCAAAATGTAATCTGTTAGAGGGGCCAGTGATTTTTGTAGCTAGTTCCGGGTAAACGAGATATGAGATTCCAGATCTGCAACCAAGTCCAAAAGGAAAATTGCAAAAAGCTTCCTTCCAAAAAGGAAGCTTTTTGCAATTACAGCAAAATATCAGGAGTGCTTTTTCCTGTTGAGGAAGGACACATCCAGGAAGGATGGATGGATGGGCTAAGCTCCCCTTTTCTGCCATCAGTTCAAAGTGGGGATTCTGGCATACATGGAAAAATCAACCTTTTGGATCCCTTCCCAGGCTTAGCTCAGGGAAGTTTCTGGGCTTTGGAGCATCCAAACTGCATCATCCTTAGAAGTCATCTGATCAGCTTCGTAACCACATCAGCCTGATCTAAAGATCCCGAATAGCTGCAAGCCTGTCCACTTGTCTGTCTTACTAGTACTATTAGCCCCATTCTCTCACCTTCCTTCAGCTACATAACTTGCCAGGGGCTTAAAGGGAGCAAAAAACAAAACAAAACAAAAAAGATTCCTGCTTAGGTTCCTGATCATTGGAGTGTGTGAGGGGGATCTCCCCCAACCTTGAACAGACTCAATAGACTACAAATACAAAATACTGACTAAATAATTTGTTTGATCACAGAACAGTATAAAACACATAACATTAACTCAAATTAAAACAATCAATATCTCTTTGGCTGGAGGTTGCAGACCATCTATTTCTTCCAGAAATAATAGGCAAATCCAGCAAGGCAGGCTCCGGAAAGGAGGCAGGAGGAAAGGGAAGGTAAGGGGAGGGAGGGAGGAAAGACGGAACGGGGGTTTCGTGGCGGAGGGAGAGGCCGGAGAGCAAGGATCCTTGGTTGAAGGTGATGGGATGGAAGGCAGGTGAGGGGATATCTTCGGGTCAGAGTTCCTGTGGGGAAAAGGGAAAAGAGAAAGCTTCATCAATATGAGAATAAACTCCCCTTTCTCCCATTAAGGGACATCCATGTTAAAGAATATTTTTGGAACAGGCCTAGCAGAAGAAGTCATCTTACTTCTGATCAGCCTATATTTCCCAATGATCATCCCATCATATCCACAAATGTTCTTTGTGTGAAAACAATAGGGCTACACATTATATTCATTGGACTATTTTGTAAACTAGGGGAGACCTTTAAAACTAGCTTTTGATCCTTTTAAAACCAAGAACTTTCCCAGCTATCTAATCAAATGAATGACCAATGAATATTATTATGCTTGTACCCTGTAAGAAAGAAAAGCAGCACACTAGATGTTTGTTATCTATGAAAAGTTCCCTCACGTGGGAGATGTGGGAGATGGTGATCCTCTCGGAATAGGGGGAGAAGGTGGAACAAGGGTAAGGATAGAAGGGAAAGAGGAGGTGGTGGGTTGGAGCAAGGGAGAAGGGAGGTTTGTGGTTTGGATAGAGGGGGAAGAGCAGGATTTGGGTTGGGGAGAGGAAGAACATGGGGTTTACGGGTGAGAGGGCAAAGGGGGCGGGTTCTTTCATCTTTCAAGTCCTGCAATCATAAGAAGAGAAACAAGGCTTTTCAATGGGTGTGTAGACAAGTCCTGTTCAGATCCTGTACAGTTGAACCTGTAATTACAGTCTTTTGGGGATGAGAATTCTATGTCAACTGCAACTCCTAGAAACACTCCCAGAAACAGAGACTCCAAACATGGAGAGGCCAAGCTACTCATGGACCTGCAGTCCTTGTTCAGAGTTGTCCTCTTGTCAAAGTGGGAAAATCAACCCCATCTCACCTTCCTCCTTGGGCACAGCAGTTTGTCTCTTGCCTTCTCCTGGCATTCTTTTTGCACCTCCATCTGCTTTCTGCTGATCCATCTCATCTCCCAATGGTCAAAAGGTACCTTCTCAACGCCCCTTTCCATTGTGATATTTGTCCCCTGTGTTCAGCAAGTAAGAGATCCATTGCATTATTTTGCTGGTCATTGAGAAAAGAGAGGCATGAAACCTGAAAAAAAAAATCAACCATGACCTTTCTAATATTACTTTGAAATGTCCCTACAAAGCAACTTTGGTAACTCAAAAATGTGATGCATTGTGCTTAAAAAAATAAATATTTGATCACTTGCTGCACTTTCACTGTCACTACGTAACCCACACGTAATCTGTGAAAGGGGCCGGTGATTTTTGTACCTAGTTCCTGGCAAACTAGATATGAGATTCCAGATCTGCAGCCAAGTCCAAGAGCTATTCGCAACCAGACACTTTCTGCAATTTGGGCAAAATATCAGGAGTGCTTTTTCCCCTTGAGGAAGGACACATCCAGGAAGGATGGATGGATGGGCTAAGCTCCCCTTTTCTGCCATCAGTTCAAAGTGGGGATTCTAGTGGCACATGGAAATATCAACATTTTGGATCTCTTTCCAGGCGTAGCTCAGGGAAATTTCTGGGCTTTGGAGCATCCAAAATGCATCATCCTTGGATCAGCTTCGTAACCACATCAGCCTGATCTAAAGATCCCGAATAGCCGCAAGGCTGTCCACTTGTCTCTCTTACTAGTACTATTAGCCCCATTCTCTCACCTTCCTTCAGCTACGGAATTTGTTAAGGGGCTTAAAGGGAGCATACAAAGGATTTCTGCTTAGGTTCTGCCCATTGGGGTTTGTGAGGGGGATCTCCCTCAACCTTAGACAGACTCAATGGACTACAAATTTTCTATCACCATGAAAAATCCCTGTTTGGTTTATCCCCTCACCCCACGCCCAGTTCTCCTTTTTTTTCTATCACCATGAAAAATCCATGTTTGGTTCATCCCCTCACCCCACGCCCAGTTCTCCTTTACTGTCCTAGACATGGATAGAATTGTGGGGATGGGGGGAAGGAGGGAGGGAGGGCACAGAAATACTTTCATTTTCCACATGATCTTCTTGATTCATCAGTGAAAGATTCTCTCCCCCCCCTAAATATTTAGGGGCAGCATGGGGTCTTCATAGAATAACTATTTACACACTCCCCTACCATTGCCTGATCTTACCTTTAATGTCACCCCTTCTCCTCACGATCCTCTCAGACAGCTGCTTTCCTTCACCAAGCTGTTCTTGTAGCCACAGAATCCACTCTGGCTTTGAGCCCAATGGACACTCAGAGCATCTTTTGAATCCTCTGACCTCAGAGCCCATGGAACCTTGGCATTGTGACTCCATTCCCTTGAATTCCATGCAATGCCCCAATGGGCTGGTTTCTGTTTTCAGGAGATGAAATTAAGGAGGAAGATCCTCTGAGTGGCAGGCATTGACTTTGCATGCTGAGGATGGCACCTATGATGTATGCTGAGGATGGCATGCTGAAGATGGCACCTATGATCTCCCACTATATGGATAGATTTTTATTTTTTATATAGGCACTTGAATCCTGTCAAATCCTTAAAAGATGCAAGTAGAAAGCATGGGGCTTTTTTTAACTTGACAAAATTTATTTGTCTGGTAAATGGCATCAGCCCCCACATCGATGTTGAAGTCCTCCAGCACAGGCAGTCTGGAGGACCTCAACAGCACCATCGAGGTGAAGCCCGCCAGCTCTGGAAAGAACAGTGCTGTATCACGGGGAGCATGGTAGACCAGCACTATCTCAAATCCCTCCCTGGTCCCCAGTGACCCAAGTGGAGGACCTCCAGGCCTGGGATCACCAAGGCAAAGAGCCTGATAGCCTCCAAGGTTTTGTTTTTTTCAATATAAACAATAGCCCAACCCTCCCATCCCTCCAATCTACTTTAATGTTGGATAGAACACCTGGGTGGACAGGTTAGGGAGAGAGCCACACCACCTCTCTGTGCCCATCCAGGTCTCAGGAACAGCCAGGTAGAACTGGGATGTGTTTTTCAATTGTATATCATGTCCCAGCATAAATACTCTGAGTGATTCACATATTCAGGCAGACAGTTCCATCTTCATCTATTCAGATTTCCATCCATTGCCCTCTTTATAGGAACTACTCTTTCCCTTCCACCGCGATCCTCGTTCTGTTCTGTCTGTCCTTCAGTCAGAGTCACACAGAGGAAGCGACTGGGAAGCTGCTCATTGTAGCAAGGCAGAGTGCAGCAGGTGTTCACCAAATATTCTGGAGGAAATCAAGGAAAATTAAGCTGATTGTGGGTTCCCCTTCAAAGGCAAATAATCTCAGCTTAATATTTTTCAGGATGAGTGGTTCCATCTTCCCCTCCATATATGTCAGAATATAAAGAGATTTTAATAAAAAGATTAACATTCCAAAATACTTCCAGGTTTCTGTTCAACATGAAAGAGCTTTGAGGAGCATGTCTAAAGAGGCTTCCTATACAACTCCTACCATTCACTTATCTTGCCTTCTAATTCTTTTCTCTCTCTCCACCCTCCCCCACTTTTGTTCCTTCATTTTGGGGAGATAGGACTGCATGGAAGACATAGCTAAACAGAAGAGGAAGCTATGAGCTTAAGCAATTTAAAATAGTCCTCCACCTCCTCCCACAGATACACCTGTTATGCAGTTGAACCAAGTATATGTAGCTTCAAGCGACTGACATTCTTGGATCAAAGTTTAAACTTACTGAGTAGATCCTAATCAACCTTAAGCGGCTGCTCAGAGCCATCTAATTTTTTTACATTGTGGCTACGATCTCCTCTGTTCATCAGCCTTTTCCAAGTTGCTCATATTTGGCAACATGTACCGAATTTTCTAGCAGTTCGAAAGCATGTAAAAATGTGAGTAGACAAATAGGTATCACCATGGTGGGAAGGTAACAGCATTCTGTGTCTAAGTCGCGCTGGCCACGTGACCATGGAAAATATCTATGGACAAATGATGGCTCTATGGCTTGGAAACGGGGATGAGCACCGCTCCCTAGAATCGGACATGACTGGACAAATTGTCAAAGGAGAACCTTTCCATTTACCAAATTTTCACTGGAACTTTCACAGAATTTCTTGAGCTGCATTTCATGCTGTTACCCCACCCTGTTGCAAGGAGGCATTCACTGCACCTCCTACCCACTTAACCAATGCCTTTCTGACAATTTTTATAAGCCAGGAAGGGCATGGGTCCAGCAAACATGGGGTAGCCTTCACCTCTCCAAGGGTTTTGTCAGCATCATCCAGCTGCAGAAGATGGAACTCATGCAACAGCCCAGAACAGGAGGCATAGTCACATTCACAAAGCAGTGTCAACTATAGCCCTCAAATCAGAGGGAATCCAAACAATTTTCTCTCCAAAGTGTCATGCAGATTCAGCTGCTGAAGATGGAACTCATGCAACAGCCCAGGACAAACAGGAGGCATAGTTACATTCACAAAGCAGTGTCAACTATAGCCCTCAAATCAGAAGGAATCCCAACAATTTTCTCTCCAAAGTGTCATGCAGATTCTTCACAGTGAGTTACACCATGGTCTGCATTCTCTTCCTACAGGCCACTCTTGACCACTCGAAAGAGCTCCGCTGGATGGCTCTGTAGAGATGTAATGGTGGCAGAGAAGAATGGCTTTCAGTGCTGGATGGGGTTACATTGGAAA